CATTTGTAGCATCAACTGATGATAGAGATTTAGTTTCACAACTTCTAGAGCAGACAAATCAAGCTGGTGTACAAGGGCAAAATGATTTTTAAGAGGAATTGTTAAATCCTGGAGGCCAGGAAACATTGTTAGAAAATATTCCTGTTGAAAATATTGCGCTGCAGAGAATTGTTATCGCACCTGGGGAAGGTCAACGACCTATAGATATGAATCAGGATAGTTATTCTGAAGAGCTATCTTTCCCAACAATCTTTGCTGGTATAATAAGGAAATGTAAGGAGATTTTTAGAGGTCTGAGCTTAGAAAATGATAGAAGAGGCTGTAGGACTGCTTACGTAAGCATAGCTCAAATGGAGGTATTTCTGCTTCAATGAGGACCATTTAAATAATTTAATTCGCCACGATGATGGCTATATTGGGAAGCGGAAAAAAAGAAAGTTATGGCGATGATAAGGCAGTTTGGCCTACCAACATTTTTCATAACTTTTTCAGCAGCTGAGACGAGATGGACAGAATTGTCTTATTGTCTAAATATTTAGACAGTTTAATAATATCTGAAGAGCAAGCTGCTAATTTAAGCTTTGACGATAAAGCTCAACTCATTAGGTCCGACCCGGTTATTTGCGCTAGATATTTTTATTTTTGCTATAGGCAGATTTTAAAATTAATGAAAATGGAGGGTGGTATTTTCGGTCGCCACTACGTCATTAGGTTTTACTGGCGGGTTGAGTTTCAGCAGAGAGGTATGCACTTATCCGAAAGCAGTAACGCTGAAGTATATATTAATACTTCATGGCCAGAACATCGGGTTAGAATACTTAAGTCTAGACAACAGTTGCAAAATTTGCCCGATGATTAAACTGATATATTTCTATTGAGTCTTATAGAACATTATGTTCAACGACCTGACGTTCTAGAAAATGTATGCTTAGCTAATTTTGCGGCTTTTTATACACTTAGCAAACAACAAACTGGAGCTCGACAAAATAGACTTGATTTGGATCATCTTGATATACCCAGTATTTCACAAACACCAAATCTCATGCTACGCGATGGCTGTGGCTTTCTTAGAAAAAGACAAAGTCAAAGCACAATTAGATATAGAAGATTTAATATAAATATTGATAGATGTAATTACTTTAGAGAAGTCGTAATGCTATACTTTCCTTGGAGAAATGAGCACATAGACTTAGTTATGAGGGATTGCGAAACGTTTTGTTGTCAAAACCTTGAAACTAAAAATATGAATCGTAAATGTTAGTGAATTACAAAATGCTCTTAAAAATATAGCTCAGGACGAAAATGAGGAAACTTTAGAAAATCAAGTCGTGGACGACAGATTTAGGGTATTGGGATTGCCCGAAATTAATCCACAATTAAATGTTCTAAACATTAATGAAAGTGATGAAAGTACAGACTTAGGAGATAATAATTTACGGATCATTAAACTTCCACCTCTAGTTTCGCCTGATGGACTGGTCGATATTGTCAGGTCGCTTAATTTGAAGCAAAGGACATATTTTTCCCATGTTTTGCACAATGCCAAAAACAATTCTGTGTTTTATGAATTTGTTGGAGGTGATGCAGGTGTCGGAAAAAGTCGGCTTATATCAGCTATATATTAGTTATTATCAGTAATGTACAATAGCAAGCCAGGAAATAATCCAACAACTAAGATTTTATTGGATCAGGCGGATCAACTTCGCATTCCATGTTTTCACTTCCAATTAATCAATCTGGTTCAAGCTTAAGACCCTTAAGTCGCGATCTAGTGAACACATTACAATCAAGGTTGATAGACCTCAAAATTATTATTATTAATGAAATTTCAATGGTGGGGTTCAAAATGGGACCTATGGGACCTTTTCAAATATTTTGAACTTACAGAAATTATGAGACCAATTTTTCGCAACTGCCTCGAATAATATGGTATCGGGAACCATGACAACCGAAGATATTAGTTTAGTTCGCTCTCGCATATGTCAGGCAGCAGAGGTGCCCAAAGATGCAATTCATTTATTTAACACTAATGCATTGTTCAGACATGAACATACATAATAATAACAAGTAAGAAAGCTCTAGTCGAGACTACTCGACTACGAGATCCCCTGAACCCTTGGAGTAATAGCTATTTCAATAATTTTTCGCGTCTTTCAGCTTACGCAAGAAACACGCACACACAGGCATACATACACACACATACATACACACATACACACACACATACACACATACACACACATACGCACACACACACATACACAAACAATTACATACATATACACACACAAGCATAAACACGCATGGGCGGCAGTGAGCGCTTACTATGAGAACTTAATTGCTTAATAACTTTTTTGTGGACGTACGATCTTCATGAAACTTTTAGATTATGATTATGACATGGATATGCATGTAATTGCCAAAGCACAAGTCTCTAGTATTTGAAATACGCTTTTTACAAAAGTGAAGGTGAGGGGGTGAATTTAAGGCCGGGGGGTAAATTTTAACAAAAATCGAAATTGTATAAAATGCATATAAGTCTACATATAAAATTTGGAAGCTCTAGCTCTAAAGGTGTAGGAGGTATAATTAAATAACTAGCTTTCGATAAGGTTTTTGATCGATAATAAATTATCGGGAGTAGTTATCGATATAAAAAGAAAAACTTGATATGCGCGTGATATACACGGACCTAGGAAAAAATTTCAAGTCTCTAGCTCTTATATCTTCTGAAATCGACGCGTTCATACATACGGACGGACGGACGGACGGACGGACAGACAGACGGACAGGGCCAAATCGACTTAGCTCGTCGCCCTGATCAAGAATATATATACTTTGTGGGGTCTGCCACGCCTCCTTCTGTCTGTTACATACTTTTAACAAAACGATTATACCCTGATTTCCCATTTTCAATGGGTTCAGGGTATAAAAACGAATGTGGAATCGAGTTCGATGGCCTTCTTTCTTGCAAAATGTGTTCTCGGTTTTGAAGTTTTCAGGTAGCACATCAAATTTGGTGAAGCACAAATGCTACAATGTGAACTGTAAAACAGAGAAAACTTTACTAATCGAAACAAATTCTGCAACAAAGCATGAAGCTGTTAATGTTGTTACCGAATGGGTAATAAAAAACTGTCGCCCGTTTAAAATTGTCGAAGATTCCGGACTCAAAAACTTTGCATCATTATACCCTGAACCCATTGAAAATGGGAAATCAGGGTATAATGGTTTTGTGAAAAGTATGTAACAGGCAGAAGGAATCATCGCAGATCCCATAAAGTATATATATTCTTGATCAGGACGACGAGCTGAGTCGATATAGCCCTGTCCGTCTGTCCGTCCGTCCGTCCGTCCGTCCGTATGAGCAAAAGGATCTCAGAAGATATAAGAGCTAGAGAGCTGAAATTTGGCATGCATACTCGTGTACATACAGTACAAGTTTGCATTATTTTTTCGATAACTCGTCCGATAACTTTTTTATCGGGAATAATCGAAAATTTTACATTGTTTTTTTCAGCCTAATTTGAACACTTTTAGACCTGGAGACTTCAAATTTGCGTTGTATATAAAGTTAATAGATACAAAGATTTTGTAATTTACAGATTTTGGATACCACGCCCCCTTCGCCCCCAATTTGTAAAAAACGTATTTCAAGTACTAGAGACTTGTGCTTTGGAATGTGCACACATTTTAGCCATATGATTACGCTCTAAAAGTTTCATTAAGATCGTATGTCTACAAAAGAAATTATTCAACAAATAAATTCTCATAATATTGCCCACTCTACAGTGCAGCCCAAGCGCAGCCGCTGCTTACTGCGCAGTTAGCAGAGCGCGTGCTTAGAAGTGCATGTGTATGTATGTGTGCATAAAAGAAGTCCAGAATGATTAGAATATCAGTTTGGAGGGTTCAGGGTATCTCCCAGTCGAGCAGTCTCGACTGGAGCCTTCTTACTTGTTATACCCTGAACCCATTTTCAATGGGAAATCAGGGTATAATGGTTTTGTTAAAAGTATGTAACAGGCAGAAGGAGGCGTGGCAGACCCCACAAAGTATATATATTCTTGATCAGGGCGACGAGCTAAGTCGATTTGGCCCTGTCCGTCTGTCTGTCTGTCCGTCCGTCCGTCCGTCCGTATGTATGAACGCGTCGATTTCAGAAGATATAAGAGCTAGAGACTTGAAATTTTTTTTCCTAGGTCCGTATATATCACGCGCATATCAAGTTTTTCTTTAAATATCGATAACTACTCCCGATATTTTATTATCGATCAAAAACCTTATCGAATGCTAGTTATTTAATTATATCTCCTACACCTTTAGAGCTAGAGCTTCCAAATTTTAAATGTAGACTTATATATATTTTATATAATTTCGATTTTTGTTGTAATTTCCCCCCCACCCTTATATCCACCCCCTCACCCTCACCTTTGTAAAAGACGTATTTCAAATACTAGAGACTTGTGCTTTGGAATGTACATACATTTGAACATTATGATTATATTTCATTAAGATTGTACGTCTAGAAATTAAATTATTCAACAAAGAAATTCTTATAATGTTGCCCACACTACAGCGCAGCCCAAGCGCAGTCGCTGCTTACTGCGCAGTTAGCAGAGCGCGTTCTAATGCGTGCGTGTGTATGTATGTGTGCCGAAAAGAAGTGCAGAGTGAATATCAGATTAGAGGGTTTAGGGTATCTCCTAGTCGAGCAGTCTCGACTAGAGTCCTCTTACTTGTTTTTAATTAAAGTAGGAGCAATTTTTGGTAGTAATGTCGACGTCGAGAAATTGCTACCGCATCCAACAACTATATCAAGAAACATAGGTGCAATATACGACACACACTTTGGCCCGATTCAAGATGAAATTAAAAAATGTAAGAGTTTCGGATACGCCATTACCAGTGACATATGGACAGACAATTTTTTAAAATCATCTTACTTGTCCTGTACCATACACTACATTAAGGATGGAGCTCTTGTTGACCGATTATGAAGCCATGAAGTCGATGAAGGAAGTCTCCTGCACAGGTATGTATCGATATTTAATCTATTTGTAAAAGTTTTAAATTTATTATTCTTTGTTTAGGTGCAAATGTACATGCAAAAATCGCCGACGTTTTAAGAGATTTTGGATGTGACCTCGAAAATGACAATCCAGTTATTGTTACTGATCGTGGGTCAAACATGATTAAAGCCTTCTGCAACTTAGAAAAAATTAATTGTGTCAATCATTTATTGAACAACGCCGTCGAGAAATCAATTGAGTCTGTTCCTGAGCTTGCAAATATTGTATCACATTCTACAAAGCTGGTGAAGTATTTTAAAAAGTCAGGAGCTAATTCTTCTTTGGGTCTCTCGTTAAAAAGCTTTTGCCCAACACGATGGAACACAGTATACTATTTGCTTAAGTCGGTAGATAGTAATTGGACGCAAATAATTTCAATTTTGAAAGAAAAAGGACAAGAATATAGAATAGAAGGAATCAATAAAAATAATTTAGCTGCCATAGTCTGTCTCTTAGAAGCGTTTGAAAACGTTTCCAAAAAACTAGAAGCAGTTAAACGCCCGACTATTCATTTGGTTCTACCAAATATATATAATTTAAAAAAAAAAATGTCAGTTCGAGTACAGTGATGTTCAACTAATTGAATCAATGAAGTTTTCACTACGATCTCAAATTGTGCATTGTTTTTGTTTCCACCAACAAATAAGCTAAAACAATTTTCGCAAAATGAAAAGGAAACAACAATAAATGACTGTAAAACTATTATGAAGCATTTTTTAGTAGACTCAAGTTGTGAAACTTTTGAAACTCAAACAGCTAGCGATGAATTTGATGAGTTCATAGAAGCTGCCCAGGTTGACTCCAATAAAGATCAGATTGAAATGGAAATAGCAGGCTATACAAATATAAATGTTCCATACTCAACCAATTTTGACGTTTTGGCATGGTGGAAAATGCACAAACATTTTTTCCCAATACTGCATAAAACAAGCTGCCAAATATTTTGTATTTCAGCCAGCAGCGCAGCTTCTGAGAGAACGTTTTCAATTGCAAGAAATTTAATTACTGAAAAGCGATGTTCAATAGCTTCCAACCCTGATAGAATTAATAAAATTATGTTTTTAAATTCGATTATTATTAGTTAATTATTTGAAATAAATATATAAGTTAAAAATTCCACAACAAAAAATACATTGCACACATATTTCTTTATTTTTTCCTCTTTCTTTTAACAGATACACACAGCAGAAAACAGCTGACAATATTCGAATGTATTCAATATACAACATTTAATAGCTTCTGCTGCTCACTCACTCACTTCATTTCTTTTCGGCTATATTTTTGTGCTGCCGAGAGAAACACGACTTCAGTCGCTCACTCATTCTCATTTCGTTTTGTACAAGTTTTCACTCAATTCAATGATGACTTTGTACAGTTGAATGTGCTTTTTTTGCCATTCATGCAGACGTCTAATAAGAACTAGGATTTTAAGCAATAAACAGTTCAGTTTCAATCTTGAATTCAGCAAATGTGGAGTTGTTTCATTTAACGCTCTATTACAAAACTCAATATGATTCCGACTGATCCGTTTTTTCCTACCGCTGTTGATTTTGTAAAAGCATACCACTTAACAAATGCTAATAGGCAATGAATTCTAGACGTCGCTAGTAGTTTTAGGTGCTTGGAAACACAGGGATTGTGTATGTCTCTTCATTTAAAAACTACTGCAAAATATATGATTACAGTTAATATAGATACTGCAGATGGTTTAGTTAACGGAGCAACAGGCATGTTAATGCAAATTGATTTGGATTCTTCCAATATTCCAAATACGTTATGGATGAAATTTGCTGACGATAATATAGGGATAGTTGCTCGATCAAAGTTAACACATCGTACTGAAAGCTTATGGACTCCTATTCAAAAAGTAGTTAAAAGCTTTCAGTATCAACGAAACGAGCAAGTTTTTATTGACCGCAAGCAGTTTCCAGTTATACCAGCAGAAGGAATAACAATCTATGAAAGTCAGGGAGCTGTATATAGCAAAGTGGTGGTCCACACTTGCCCTCGAATGCAGCTCGCTTCAAATTACGTAGCATGTAGTAGAGCAACAACTGCATTGGGGCTATTTATAAGGTGCAAAATCAAATCATGCAACTGCGGAGTGTGAAGCAGCTTCGATAGCATTATGATCACTTAGTTAATAGTTCCACTCTTGACATATTCTTTCATAATACTGATAACATTCATTGTCATATTCAAGACATTCGGTCCGACATACTAATGGTTAAGTCGTCAATTTGATATTTCGTAGACACGTCCACATATCCAAATGAAAATGTGGACATTCCAGGATTTAGTATTATAGTTCGGGTTGATTGCGACGTAGTACCGAATGCTGTTCGAACCAAGAGGGGTATAATTATTTATGTTAGAAATGAAATTTTAAATAATATTATAAGCTGCATATGCGGGTGAAAAATATGCGGCGCAGAAGTTTTTGAGTATGCAGTGTTTCGATATAAGTCGTTAAGCTTTATTTTAGCTTACAAAAGTCCTTCTTATTCATTACCACAGTTTAGAACTGAGTTTGAGGAACTGTTCCATTAACATTCATTTCTGACTGAAAATTGTGTAATTGTGGGAGATTTGAACTTATGTTTCAGCAGGTTTGAAACATCTAGAACCTTTTATAATAATTTGATTAGAAAAAGCTTTAGGAGCCTCATAGATTTGAACTACAACCAATTCCGATTCACATATCGATTGGGCGTTTTCAAATCTTAGCAGTGAGGTCATTTCCGCTAGGACATTTGCTTGATTTTTTCCATATAAACAAAAGCCCGCATTTAAAGAAAAGAAATAACATCGAAGAGGTTTCGAACCTCCCCTACTCTAACATAACTTGCGTCGCCTTTGGCACACGCGCTACTGCTTTGCTTGATAAGCGCTAAAATAGAATAATAGAGAGAGTGTGTGCACATGCATAGGAAAATCGCGCTGATCTGCTGCTAGCTTGAAGCCGGTATCCAATGTATGGATATAAATATATAATACAAATTAAAATTGTATAAATTATATATGTATGTGTCGGAGAATGACGGTAGATATCGATTGGTAATATCGATAGTTATATGCTGTGAGTAGCAATCAGGATTACTAAACTTCCCGATTGCTGAGGGTGGTCCGTGTCACGTAGTGTTATGAGGTGGCAACGTGTAGGATTGCCAGATTGTCAGAACACGACTCGGGGCAGATGACTTGCATTTTGAAAATATGAACACACGTACACGGAATTCACGCAGCTACAGCGTTAAGAAGAAGGGCTGATAGGAAAGTGACGACTATTCCATCCGATGATGAAATAGTTAACTACGAACATGATAACGAAGACCCGACATCAGAAGTGGGATTAGTCCAGCCTAACACTAATGCTGACTCATGTTGCGTCGATTTAGAAAAGCAAATCAGAGATCTCAAGGAAATGGTCGCAATGCTAAGTACTCCATTGCGGGCACCATCTAATGCAAAACAAGTTTGTCTGCCAAAATTTAATCCAGATACACCTAGTGCAGATGCCTTCTCCTGGCGCACGACGGTTGGCTTAATTATTGCAGATAATGCTCTACAAGGTAGCGATCTCGTTATGTCGCTTAGTCGAGCTCTGGAAGGCAGCGCTTCGCAGTGGCTGGAACAAGTAAGCTTTGCTGGCATGACGTGGGCGCAATTTCAGGAATTGTTCATTCTGCGCTTCGAAGGATTGGAGACAAAAGCTACAACACTGGTGAATCTCTTCAGTGGCGCTCCCAAGGAGGGTGAAAACTTGTGCGTTTACAGCAGTCGTTTGGTCACTTCGCTGTTAACCAAATGGAGATCTACGGATGTTGAAGAAATTGCAGTTTCTGTTGTTTTGGCTCATCTTGCACAAATCGACAAGAAATTAAGTAAGCTGCTATTTACCAAAGAGATTAAAACCAGAGGAGAACTTCATGCGCTCGTGAGAAGCATATGGCTGTCTGTTCGGTGGTAGAGCCTCTTGGACAATTAAGAGTATCTGGTGAGACTGTGCCATTTTGTTTCGATTCTGGTGCCGAGTGCACTTTGGTAAACGACTCCGTAGGCATAAAGTTTGCAGGGAAAAGATTTTGTAATATGGTAGTTTTAAAAGGCATTGGAAATAGTTCCATCTGTAGTACAACTCTGATTCTATCTATGGTTATGATTGAAGAATACTCAATCGAAATATTGTTTCACCTTGTTAATGATGCTTATCTGAAACACGATATAATGCTTGGCCGAGGGATATTAAGTTAGGGACTTGGAGTATCAATTCAACCAAATGAGCTCAAAATGTACAAAGTTAAAACTATTAATAGTCTAACTAACCATAGTAATTATGAGACATATATTAACAATGATAATGTATTATGTAATGCTGATAAGGAGCGCTTATTAACAATCTTACGACAATATTCAGACTGGTTTATAGATGGGATTCCAAAGAAGCAAGCAGCATCGGGCCAAATGGAGATTCGTTTGATTGATGCGAATAAAATTGTACAAAGGCGGCCATATAGACTTGGGCCGACAGAAAAGGAGCTGGTGCGTTCCAAAATCAGTGCGCTGTTAGAAAAAAATATAATACGTCCAAGTTGCTCTCCATTTGCAAGCCCAATGTTGCTGGTGCGAAAGAAAAACGGTACTGACCGTTTGTGCGTAGATTACCGAGAATTGAACTCGAATACTGTTTCCGATAAGTAATTGCGGATCAGATTTCTAGATTAAATGGGTCAATGTACTTTTCTTGCTTAGATATGGCAAGTGGATTTTACCAAATACCTGTACATCCAGACTCAATAGAGCGAACAGCCTTTGTAACACCGGATGAGCAATATGAGTTTTTGGTGATGCCATTCGGATTAAAGAATGCTCCGTCAGCGTTTCAACGTGCCGTCATTACGGCATTAGGTGACCTAGCTTATTCATACGTCATCGTTTATATTGATGATATTTTGATCGTCGCACAGACAAAAAAAGAGGCATACGAAAGGTTGCAAACGGTTGCAAATTTTGTCGAAAATGGGGTTCACTTTCAACATATCTAAGTGTTCGTTCTTGAGAACCACTATTACCTAAGTAGGTTATGTGGACAGATTAGGCCCAATGAACGAAAGATAGCAGCACTTGGGGGTTACCTCCACCGCAATCAGTTACACAAGTGAGACAGTTTATAGGACTAAAGTTTTCAGAAATAATGGAGCCCTTGTTCCAACTTCTCACTAAAAATAGTGAATTTGTTTGGAAGGAACAACATGAAGAAATCAGACGCAAGTCATAGCAATCTTAACAAGTAAGCCTGTCTAACTATTTTCGACCCTCATCAACCTATTGAATTGCATACAGACGCCAGTATTGATGAGTATGAAGCAATTCTACTGCATAAAATTGAAAATATGCGACATGTGGTCGAGTATTTCAGCAAAAGAACTTCTCCTGCTGAATCAAAGTATCACTCTTACGAGTTAGAGACATTGGCAGTTTTTAATGCAGTGAAACATTTCCGCCATTATTTACTTGGCAATGATTTCGTACTATTCACGGACTGCAATTCGTTAAAGGCAAGCAAGAAAGTTAATCTTTCTCCAAGAGTCCATAGGTGGTGGGCATATCTGCAAGCTTTCCAGTTCGAAATTGAATACCGAAAAGGAGAGCGCATGTCTCACGTAGATTTCTTCTCTCGAAATTTGGTTCCAGATAGCTCTCAGTCTTTTGAGAGAGTTATAGAAAAACGAATTAATCGGACAGAGATATCTGAACATTGGCTCCTAGCGGAACAGCAGCGTGATCAGGAGCTGTCCGCTATTGTAGCAAAGATACGTGAGGGAGATATGGGCGTGGGAGAAAATACCTATGAAATTAGAGCGGGTGTCATGTTCAGAAAAACTCAAAGGAATGGCAGAAATCTATGTTTACCGATAATACCCAGAGCATTTAGGTGGTCGGTCATAAACCACGTACATGAAGCGATTATGCATTTGGGTTGGCAGAAGACACTAGAGAAGACTTATTGCCATTATTGGTTAACAATATGTCAAAATACGTCCGAAAATTTTTTGAAAATTGTATTACTTGCAAATTATCCAAATCAAAGTCTGGCAAAATTCAATCGGAACTACATTCTATACCGAAAATAGAGATTCCGTGGCAAACCCTACATATTGATATAACGGGAAAGTTAAGTGGGAAAAGCGAGGTTAAGGAATATGTAATCGTCTTAATTGATTCGTTCACTAAATATGTTTTGTTATATCATTCCACCAATATTGACTCACAGAATTGTATAAAGGCCATGAAGTTTGCTGTATCGCTGTTTGGAGTACCAAGTCGCTTGATAGCAGATCAGGGCCGATGCTTTACAAGCTCTAACTTTCGTGAGTTTTGTAACGGCCAGAAAATAAATTTACATTTGGTAGCGACCGGTGCCAGTCAAGCTAATGGACAAGTAGAGCGCATCATGAGTGTACTAAAGAACATGCTTACAGCAGTGGAAACTAGTCAGCGTTCCTGGCAATACGCTTTAGGAGAGATACAATTAGCTATAAATAGCACAAACAATCGTGTCACTAAGTATAGCCCGTTAGAATTGTTGATTGGAAAGGTATCTCGACCGCTTGGTCTCTTGCCTATTGACGATAAGGAGCATCACGTAGATTTAGAGCAAGTCAGGGTACAAGCTAAAGATAATATGAGACGCAATGCTCAATATGATAAAACTAGATATGATAAAGATAAGGCTAAAATCGTAAAGTTTAAGATAGGAGATCATGTCCTACTTAAGGCCCAAGAGAGACATCAAACTAAGTTGGATCCCAAGTACACTTTCAATTAGAAATCAGGGTATAATGGTTTTGTTAAAATGTATGTAACAGGCAGAAGGGGGCGTGGCAGACCCCACAAAGTATATATGTATATTCTTGATCAGGGCGACGAGCTGAGTCGATTTGGCCCTGTCCGTCTGTCTGCCTGTCCGTCTGTCCGTATGTTTGAACGCGACGATTTTCGAAGATATAAGAGCTAGATACTTCAATTTTTTTTTAAATGACCGTATATACAGCGCGGACGTCGAGTTAGCTTTTAAAATTCGATAAATCATCCCGTTATGTTTTTATCGAGTAAAAACATTCAAGTTCAAGTCAGATGCCACTATAGCTAATTGTGAATGATTTTTCATTTTTTTAAATTTCTAAAATATTCAATATAATATGTAGATCATATGCTGAAAGTTTCATTCAATTCCGTTCAGTCAAAAGTTAATAAAAAATAATCAAATATTTGGCCAATTAACAAACGCACGTGCAGGAGCTACAACAGTATCGTATGCGTGTGCACACATACATTCAACTTCTTCTAGAACATTCTTTGAATCACATCAGCTGTTAGGTTCGTTTAGTTTTGGTAGATGACGCTGCAGCAGTGAATCTGTGGCGGTTCAAACCACAGCCTATGTTATAGTTAGTTTAACGATAGTCTTTATCGATAGTGGTAATCGAGAGTTTTCCCTTCTCTTAAAAAAGATGTATAAATGACTCACTCCAACGCGCCAATAAAATATATACCTATTTTGAATACATTTAAATACAAATTGTGTTTTAAATGTGGCGTAGCCACATATGGTGACCCCGATTTAGAAAGAACTTTAATTTTTACAAAATCTGCTGCTGCCGCCACCAACACAGCCACAGCCGCCCAAGAAGTCTCAACAGACGGCGTCATGCACGATCAAGCTGAAAACGACAGCGGAGAAACGCATGTAACAACTACTTCACATGCTGTGAACGCCATCCACACAATTCGCTTCCCACAATTCATGGCCACAGACCCAGAAATGTGGTTCACACAGATTGATGCATTGCTGCATATACATAACATAAAATCGGATCAAGCCAAGTTCTTCACTATAATAACTTCATTGGATGCAGACACTCTACGCCAGATTTCCGGCATCGCAAAGAAACCACCAGAATCTGGAAAGTACGACAAACTCAAAAAATAACTCATCTTAAGATTTGGTGTGTCCCGTGAAAAGATGCTAGTCAAACTCTTAACAGAAATTGAATTGTCTGACAAAAAACCGAGTCAACTACTTCGGGAAATGCGCGACTTGGCCGACGATTCGTTATCGTGCGAGGGAATTGCGACACTGTGGATGCAACGCCTTCCAAGCAGCATCCGAACCATCCTGTGCGCACGCAATGCTGAGGATATAGAAAGTTATAGAAACAAACTATTGTGAAGCTGTCCAAAGCACGAAGCCAAACTCTATCGAAACCAGGATGAGTGCCTTAGAGACGTCTATAAAAACAATAACCCAACAGTTGAACCAAGCTCTATCATCACCCTTAAGCAGCAACCACAGACGGAATAACAATAACTACAACCAATCCGCATCTTCAACCCCTACCTACCAGCAAAAAGTTTGCACATATCACATCCGTTTCGGACGAACGGCAAAGAGATGTGTACAGTCGTGCGAGTTCGGATGCACAACTAATCAACAATCGGAAAACTAAATCAGCTGTCGCCACTAAGTGCAGCTGACGGCAGCCAATCATGCGTTTCGTATGCTGAAAAAAGACTGCACATTTTTTATTCTAAGAATCGAACAACATTTTTAATCGACTTCGGTTCTATCGATTCAGTCTTACCCAAAAAGTTTGCTACAAACAACCAAAACTCAACTACAAACGATCTCAATCTGTTCGCAGCGAACAACACGATCATTCACACATATGGTACCAGGCAGCTTGAAGTTCATCTGGGCCTACGTCGATCTTTCAATGGAAATTCATCATATCCAACGTTAAATCAGCAATCATAGGCGCTGACTTTTTGGCTCATTTTGGATTGACAGTGGGTTTAAAAACAAAACGACTCATCGATCCACTCGCTCAACGGCAAATCAATGGAGAAGCCCGTAGAAATTACCAACAAAATGTCCTCACGCTCGACCCTTCGTCTAAATTTTACCATATTATCAATAAATATGTAAATTTAACGAACATCAGCACCTACAATCGACCAGAGTCAGGTGAAATTTCTCATCACATTATCACCACTGCACTATGGGTAAAAAGTCCGATTTTTTGGCATAAATCCAAAAAAAAAAATTTTCAGTACTCGCCAACTTTTTTTATATTCTCATTTAGAAAACTCCAGCCGACTTAAAAACAATTTTTATAAAATTTTGGGGACTACCCATAATGTTTTAAGCTTCGTCAAAGTCAGCTGATTCAGGGTTGCATGGTAAATTGAAAAAAGTGCGGGAAATCATTCTCTACTTTCAATGTGTGTAAATCTTTGGGTGTTTGAGATAGTGAAAAATATTTGTTATGGAAAAGATTCAGGAAGGTATGTCAAATAAGATCATTATATTAATTTTGGTAGTTCTGTGATTTATCGTCCAATTGTGCAATGTGTTGTTGTTGTGTATTTTTAGATAAAAATTAAAACTTATTTGTGCGTTTCGTGAGTTGTAATTTTTGAGGCGAGAAAGGTATTTAAAATGTTTAAATGAGAAAATCTGTGTTAATATTTGCTGAACCCAATAATAAAAAGACTTCTTGCTCATATTTGCCCCTTCAAAAAATAATCGGCATGTTGCAGTTACACATGAGTTCTGCAATTCCATGCTGCTGGAAGTGTGGAGCAGCAACAAGCGACAAGAAAGCGCTGTTGTAGATTATATCGTACAGAAAATAGGCAAAGCAAATATTTCAGACGATCAACTAAACGCCATTGAGCTTAAAGTTAAACAATTTGTGCGATTTGTAAATTATAATTTGCCTAAATGCAATCGAATGCTGGAACGGCTAAAAGCAAAGCACCCGCGTTGGCTAGAGTCGAGCATAAAAGTGATTTCATACGGCAGATCACTTGAAAAAGTAGGTCGGAAGCAATTAAGCTATAACGATGCTGGACCTCGATTAAAACGAAAATACAATATTAATTACTATTTCTTGCGAGTATAAGGTAAACTCCTGGAAATTTAAAGATCTATGCGAGAAAACCTTTTATATGTACACGGCAAAATACATTTGGTATCCAATGTCTCCAACTGTCCACAAAATTTTGGTGCATGGACATCAAATAATGGACAATTGTATAGTTCCAGTTGGCGTTTTGGGAGAAAATGCGTCTGAAGCGCGAAACAAAATCTACAAGAACGATCGGAAATCCCATGCTAGAAAGAGCAGTCGGCTAGAGAATATAAGTGATGTGTTTAACAGAGCACTTGACTCATCTGATCCACTTATTTCTAGCCTTAGCTTAAAAGAACGAGCGCGGCGAAATAGGAGAAAGAATTTGCCATCAGAAGTTGTTGAACTCTTAGAGGATTGTTCTCACAATACTTCAAACCAGCACACCGGCTCAACCGAAAGCCAAGATGAGGAAGATGATTCTGATGGCACAGATGAGGACACTTATGATGACAATTGTATTGAGTTGGAAGGAGAAGAAAGTGATTAAAATTTTTGTTCAGGTATTGAAAGCAAATTTAAAAAAATTAATTGACTCATGCTTATTTATGATATTTCTTTTGTTTTTCTTACAGCGAATGGGGCGGATCCAAAAATATATATTAAATATATGTAAAACATATTAAAAATATATATAAAATATAAATAGTATTTAATTTACACTTGTATATAAGGAAAAGTCTTAATTTGTATACTTTATAAATTTGTATGGAGGGGGAGGGGATGTAGGCGTGGCTAAATTTTGAAAAAAAAAAAAAATCCAAAATTAAACAAAATACATATTAGTATGTATACAAAATTTCAACCTTCTATCTCAACAGGGACAATTTATGCCAAAATATCGGGGTTTTTACCCATAGTGCACTGGTCAACCTGTAGCTGAACCTAAACGTCGACACACTGGAGAAAAATTAGAAGTCATCAAATCAGAATTTAAGGAACTTCTACAACTTGGCATAATTCGTCCATCAAGCAAACACCAACATAGTAAAGTGTATTCGTTCATGGTCCTTCGAACCGGATGAAGTATTTTGATTACTTCAATTTCATCCACAAGGAAAAATGTTTGTGATTAGTACAAAGTGAAGTGCTAGTATTATAGATTTGTGCATTGGCTTTCCATCCCAAGCTGTGAGTCGAGGTACAGCAAGATCAACCTGGTGATCAAAACAAAAAAACCTCCAACGGGATAAGCCAATGGATCTACAATAAACAAACAACTGTGTCGTCAACCATCAATATTTAAAGAGAAATATGGTGGCATAATGACAGAAATCATAACCAATAAAGAGTTCATGAAAGTCGAAGTTGCCGACCACGCCATAGACACAAAACATTTTTATAGTTGGGAAACGAGACCAGAAACATCAAAGCAAGAGATGTTTTCATTTGGTTGGTCGAGCCCAATAGAGAAGTTGGTAAGCCTTGTGGACGAAAGAGCTCAAAGAGTAAGGCTGCACATTGAAGAGGTGCTGGCCAACATTGAGCTCGGCAACCAGGATGAAATCGTTAGCTACAAATTTACGCTAGATTTCCTCTGGAAGAAAGTCTAGTCAACACTGAAAGATTTGGAGGTAAAATATGAAATATATGCTTACGAAATCGAGTACATAGACGAACGAAAGAGATGTTTTCATTTGGTTGGTCGAGCCCAATAGAGAAGTTGGTAAGCCTTGTGGACGAAAGAGCTCAAAGAGTAAGGCTGCACATTGAAGAGGTGCTGGCCAACATTGAGCTCAGCAACCAGGATGAAATCGTTAGCTACAAAGATATGCTAGATTTCCTCTGGAAGAAAGTCTAGTCAACACTGAAAGATTTGGAGGTAAAATATGAAATATATGCTTACGAAATCGAGTACATAGACGAACGAAAGAGATGTTTTCATTTGGTTGGTCGAGCCCAATAGAGAAGTTGGTAAGCCTTGTGGACGAAAGAGCTCAAATAGTAAGGCTGCACATTGAAGAGGTGCTGGCCAACATTGAGCTCAGCAACCAGGATGAAATCGATAGCTACAAAGATACGCTAGATTTCCTCTGGAAGAAAGTCTAGTCAACACTGAAAGATTTGGAGGTAAAATATTAAATATATGCTTACGAAATCGAGTACATAGACGAACTGGAAGTCAAAGTGTACACAGTGTCGAAAAAACTGGAAAGGAAAATAAGTGCACTGCAAATCGTAAAAGAAGACACTCCAAAGCGACCGAAACCGACACTTCCTCACTTTAATGGAAGTCCTAAGGCGTGGCCAACGTTCTTCGAGCAGTTCACCAAAATAATTCACAACAGAAAGGATATCAGCGACAAGACGAAACTGATATACATCAAAATGTATCTCAAAGGAGAAGGTCAACGAGTTATAAGCCATTTCTCAATTGGAGTGGGTAACTACAGTTCAGCGTGGGACTATTTATGCAAACGCTACAAACGTTATTTGCCTGTGGACATGGAACTGCTGAAGGATAACGATGAAGGCAGTATCCGCAATTGCGTGAGCACCTCTGATAACAGTGACAACGTCACAGCTGATGAGATGACCGCATATTAGGCTGCTTTGGATGCAATAGTGTTCAAAAAGTGGGATTACAACCCGCCAGCAAGCCTCCACGTGGGAGGAAATATAAATAAAGCTACTGAACAACGTAATAAGGTTCAAGTGGTAACAACAAAACCAAATATAGGTGAAGACAAGAGATCGATAAAAAAGATCTGGGCTCCACCAACTCCGACAAAGGATCCGGAGCACATAGAAGATGCGGACGAGAATGGAATTTCTGCCACAACTTTGACATCAACGTTGAGTATCACTGAAGATACATCAACAGATATCCAATTGGAAGTTCGACCAATGGATGATATTTGCACAGTTGGCAGCACGACGGAAGAGCAAACTTCTGCGGAGACTGCAACAGCGACTGGAAGTGCAGCTGAAGAGAAAAGCGACAATACCGACTCAAACTCTTCAGTGGTGACCACAGCAGCGCCACCAACAACGGAAACTAAAGCTACAAGTACAATTACATCAGAAAAGGAGTCAATTGGAAGTAGCAGCAACATATTAAAGGAAACAACAATAACATCTACAAGCGAAACAATAAGCACAATAAGGCATCTGAATCAACAGAAGGACGTCTATCACTTGGAGGCTTTGGCCTCAGCAATAATGAAGCGATCGACAACTTCCTCAACAGATGCAATCAGCTGTATTAATGCAACAAACGATGACATCTATAAGCCGCAGAAGTTCTTTAAAGAGGCACGACTTCACTTGGCATGGGAACCGCCACCTGAGCAAAAGACCAAGGTGATTGTGGCATACTCGGTTTATCTGGATGTCACATTCTCTGGGCCCTGCAGAATGTTCAGGCACGAACATAAAGAATGCAAGATGATGGAATACGAGGGAGATACGTTCGTCAAGAAACTCAATGGAAAAAACCGATGGCTCTTTAAAGTATTTAAGGAGAAGTCTGCCCACATTATATGCGGAAACTACGAGGAGATAGTCCAGCTACCAAACTAAGGCATAATCGAGCTATATGCTGGATGCTCAGCCAGAATAGATAAAATTAACATTATTACTCCGCAGGATCTAGTATCTACAAATACTGCAAGGTACTCGCCACTTTTCCTCAAAATAATCGACCAGAACGTAACATGGGATTCAACACCACTTCAACACATTGTCGTAACTAACTCAGCAGAGCTACAACGAGTTCAACAAAGCATAGAAGACCTGCACCGGCAAAAGGTACATATTGAAGATCTTGTCTTCCACACAATGAATGGACATATTTCGTTGGGACTAGTTATAATTATAATATCGCTATTTGTCGTGTATCTAATCAAGAAGAGAAACCAGAGACAGCAATTGTTAGCTATAACCTTCTCTGGCCCCCCGCAGAATGTTCATGAACATGCATGAACATAAAAATATGATAGTAGGGGAACGTACGCGCTATCACTAACCAGAGAGCACATAGATGAGACAACTAGTGTAAAGCGTTTTGCACACTTATTTTCGAGCGTAATCTCCCAGACACTTCGTATTTGCTCGGCTCTTCGCTTTTAGGGTTCAGGCTACGAAAATATGGGAGGTCAAAATCATTCGTCTTCATGCGCTCGACCGAGATGGTCGACTATTGAACAAAAGAACCGTCTATGCTCAATTTTTTTTCTTGCTCTCTCTCTCTCTCTCTGCTTTTTACTCTCTCAAATGTATATATGTATGTGTGCATGTGAGCACAAGCAGCAGCCCACAAAAATTGAAATTTCTTCGCAGCAAGAACCAAATGTCTTCCCTTCTGTGTGAAGAGTATACCGGACTCTTCAAACCGTTTGACATGCTCATGCAAAATGTTAGCTTTTTCATGATTATTTTTGGGAAGGGTATGCGTTGGTGCGCATATTGGCAATGTTTTCACAACGACCGTGCACATACACACACTACAACCCCTTGCTACATGTGTGAGCATTATTTGTATGCGTGGGTTTGAAGCTCTAGCTGCCTGTAGCAATTTTAAAGCCCAGCATTTGCATTTGGTCGATCTTGTGAGCTGCTCACACTTACATACATATATGCGTTTGATTGTGTGTACGCATGGGAGGCGATGCTCACAATTATGGGATATCACTTGTAGAAGCATTTGTATGCCTGTGTGCCTGCCTTTGTGTGTGTGCGTGTGTGTATGCTTTGTTTGTATGAATGGGAGATGAACATTGGCGTGTGCCTACCACAACTTAGAATTATGTGAACGATTTTGGGTTCGAATTGCAAAGGCGCCCTTATATTTAAGTACCTGATTTTATTTCAATGATCTTGGGCTTGCCTATCAGAATGCATTTTTTTTTAAATATAGTACCTGATCAAACCCAGTGGGCGAAATGGGATATGTTTTTTTTTTTTTAACACTTGCACTTGTGCATACATATGCAGGTAAATATTATCAATTTTTAAAAATATGAATACGTAAGCAGGTCAAATTGACCCTTTTTACTAAAATTGCATACGTATACAGCCCAAATTGACCCTTTTTAAAAAGAGGCATCCGTTAGATGTCGTAAGATTTCCAAATACCTATAAAAAGTAGTGGGAAGTGCACTTGTCACTTTAGTTGACACTCAACTTCCGAAACAATCGGTGCTATCTTCAGTGTTTATTATATTGTTGCGAAAAGAGCCAAAATTTATAAAAGTTTTTTTTAAGACTATGGCTGAAACAAGTGCTACAATGAATTCCAGTGTTGCTATACAAAATTTAGGCGCAAAAGATTTACGAAGAGGTAGTGAAAAATGTATAATACAAACGTGTGGTGCGAGTTATAGAAAAAGTTCAGTAAATTTTCCAGTTAAGTTATTTTCGTTTCCATCAAATGAAATTCTTTTTAACAAATGGATAAAAGCATGCAATTTACCCAATAACGTCAACCGGAAAAGAGCAAAAATATGTAACAGGCATTTCGAAGAAAACTATATTGGTAAGCGTAAATTAAAAGCCAACGCTGTCCCTTCCTTACATTTGGGTGACCCAAACTTCCTTTTAAATAGTGCAGCTTTCAATGATCAGATTGAATTAATTGACAGTGAAGAAGTAGAA